CGCACGCACGCACGCACGCACGCACGCACGCACACACACACATCTCGTGCATGTAATCCCTGACTTCGAATGAAAACCAGCGAATAACATACGGCAGTTACATGCCCTGTGACAATGGAAACAATGCAACGACCGATCGCCATGGTTACCATACATACTGCTGAGGGCAGTGAATGATGCAACCACGGAAGGTAACCTAGCAACAAGCTATCGCCGTGGTTACCATAACTATTGTACGTGACAACGGTCAGGAGATGGCAAGATCAGCCAGATCCTCTGCCGTCAGCGAGGTGCGCGTTGCTGGGGCATCCTCCGCTATCACCGTGGCAACCGCGCCGCTGCCGCCATCGTCGTCATTGTCGTCGTCGAGCAAGGAGAGCAAGTTGTCGTTCTCGTATGTCGGGAAGAAGTACCTACACACGACGACGACAACGACAATCACATTCGTTAGTCACGAACGATGTTGCGACCGCGGGGTACATTCAGGTAAATGTCAAGAGGAAAAATCACAATAATAATAGTGAAGATAATAATATTAATAATAATAATAATAATAATAACAATAGCAATAATAATGGTAAGTAAAAGCAGAAACAACTTCTTGCTGTCAGTCAGAATGCTTACTGTGGTTGATCCCAGGTGCAGGAATCCGGCACCTTCCCCACATGCCCTTCCTTCTGCATGTGATCCTCTAGCTCCTTCTCACTGCTCAGCCTGCTGTCACAGTAAGGGCATCGGTGCTGATGCATCTATGAGGTAAAGTGATAATTCTAATGCACGAGCAAAACTCGAGGCAAACACGAAGAGCTGATAGAAACTCATTATACAGACAAATACTTTGCTCGTTGTTCACGCCGTGCTGCCATCTGTAGGGCGTAAAAGTTAAATTGCCACTCAGCATTGCATACTCGTGCTGCCACAGTCAGAACATTGCATAATTTCGGTGTACAACGTTTGTGAATTAACTGTTAAAATTAATTAATTAAATAAATTATATTGCTAATACTCTATACAAATCTTACCTGTCTTCTAATGAAGTTGACCAGTTTCACCTGCTGGTAGAAGCTTAGCTGTTGACTGCTGATAATTGCCTTCAGATCAAATTGATGAGCCTGCTGAAAACGCAACAATTCACCACAACACACCATTAATAAAATAACAACATTATTATTATTATTATTATCAATGATAATAATGATAAATAACAATAACAATAATAATAATTATTATTATTATAATAATTCACGAATGAATAAAATTGACAATGAATATCTAGCAATTATAATGAGTCATCTAAAGTTCCTGTCACTATAATTCTATCAATGCATTGTAAACAAGTTTTTAGCCTTCAAGCTGTATTGATGTCACACTATATTGAAACAGAAATAAGTAAATAATTACATAAGATTCTGCCAGCACACAAAAACAATATCTCTAGCATTTGTTTGCAGTTATTGCTTATCATGGCATTCACAGCGTATACTCACGTCTTTGCACTTCCTAACACACTACAAACCTATGTGTAGTAGACTAATGAGGGAGGACTCATACCTTCATGTGTGTAGAAGACTAATGAGGGAGGACTCATACCTTCATGTGTGTAGTAGACTAATGAGGGAGGACTCATACCTTCATGTGTGTAGTAGACTAATGAGGGAGGACTCCTACCTTCATGTGTGTAGTAGACTAATGAGGGAGGACTCATACCTTCATGTGTGNGGCGGCGGCGGCGGCGGCGGCGTACGCACGCACGCACGCACGCCCGCACACATAATCAGTGACATACATACGGGACCCTTCCCCCTCGAACATACATTCTCACTACGCGCACTCACGGTTCAAGAGCAATAAGTGATTCATTAGAATGCTGCTGCCAATGCACGCATTAACATTCATGGCACCAAACCCCGGGTAACAGGATAGTGGCATACAAATTTAATGAGCGTTCTAGATGTGTTCTCAACTCCTTGCCAATCCAACGAAGCAAAATTACGTATGCAAAGTGGGGGCGCCATTATGGAGCGAGTACCCCTCCATTGAATTTGCGGCAGGCAGTGTGCATAGTTGACATCTGTGGGGGCCAATTCGTGACTGGAATATAATTTAGTTCGGCGTCTAGACTAACAGAAATGTCGAGCAGGCCAAGTAGGGAAGGGGGCGTAGCATACGGGTTGTACAGACAGACACACAGACAATTGGGCCCTTCCCATACAAATAAGATAAAAGTTAAAAATACGAATTGTATTTACTCCCTAAGATTTCATGTTGATGTATACTCTGTATAGCATAATGATTTTATGTCAATGCTGTTCAAATGCTCCCCTTAGATAATCTCACCGTACGCACGCCACTGTGCACAAACTCAAAAAATAGTGTGAAACGCAAAACACAAAAGAAAAAACTCTCGCCTAACCTTACCAGCATAACGATCTCAACATAACCATTTATCATCAACCATGTAGTTTCTCTACCAGTTCCAAGTTTCACGCCCTATATTTATATATATATAT